ATGTAAATCAGCTTTCTTTAACAGTGGTGGGCAAACAAACTGGTATTAGTGGTATTTCTTATTTGAGATACCTATAATGAATAAAACGGTATTGAGAGGTTTCAATTTTGAATACAAAACGTGTTTTGTTAAACTGTTTCAATTGTGTAAATGTCTGAAATATATACCATATATTTGAAACAAGTTTATCTAACATTTATTAATATAAGCTAACTAGGCAGACTTTGGTGCAAGTAATTTTAGGAATTATACATACCAGAGACAAAGACATATAAAGACCTAAAGAGCCACATGCAGCCTGACTAAGTCAAGATTAGACAGTCATCTTCCCCAGCATGCAGGAATACGCTAAGACAGAGGACAACCATGTTGCAGGAAAAAATCTTTCTTCAAGCACTGCCTAGAACAAACAGTTACATCTAAAGTTAGATTTTAACAATGCACTTTTTATTTGATATCAATGACTTTTCTTGTTGCTACAAGGCAAGATTTGTTCATTTCTTGTTATGGTTAATGAGACAAATTCATTCTTGGTGTAACTCTACAGCCTTCAATGGAATTACATGAAGGATGAAGTTGGCTCATGGAATTTTGACATGAACAAATGATCAAACTATGATCACAGAACAGCAGCAGCATGTTTAGTCAATGCCCCATGTTCCCAGACAAAGCTGGATTACAAAGAACTAAAATATGATATTGTCTATTCAGCTGAAATGTTTCACGATAAGATTTTAAGTCTTGAATCAGCCCATTAGTCTCCTATATTGCATACCTAAATGTCATGCATTCAGATTAGGTTTCCTGTGCTCCATTCAGTGGGGTATTGGTGACTGCAACAATTATTATGCTGAGTTATGAAACTTCTCATTCAATTAGTCCCAAGACAGTTTTCAAACAAATAATGTTTCATCAACTTAATTCAGTGGTATGTAGTGAATCTCATATTGTTTTGACTGGGTGAAAATAAAAACAATTTTATTAAAAGGCAAATCTGGCAGTACCTTAATCTTAGAAATTAAACATGAATGTAATGCAACAGGAATAAGGATGTACATAAATAGGAGAAAATAATAATAATTAGTATACTATTTAACAATTAATTATAATATTTAATAATATTAAATAATAAAAGGCCTTTCTCGTAACCTCAAAAACAGATAATTAAATCCCCTAAATTCCTATAAAACAATAGTTTTCTGAAAATCTTATTTTTTTTCTTCTGGCTGTCAGTGAGCCATATTTATTTTCTCCCACAAAAGAAAGTTCTCCTTGTAAAGTTGTATCTAAAGACCACTTAAAAATAACTATCAATTTACCCCTCCTGTTTGTCTGCTCCAATCCTAAATGAACTTTTGCAAAAATTCTTATATTTGGCTCTTCTGACTGCAAAAAGAGATATTAGAGGCTCTGGAAATCAAACAGGAATATAATTATAAGCACTGAAGTTATGACCTCTCCTTGCTCTCCAAGCGCTCTTTGCTGTTAGCATAGAACTCCTCATTCATGTGAAATAAGCCACCCGTGAAAGCAGCACTGCAGTTGCTTGCAGAGTTAATGTAAGTGCTGTCACTGCACTTGCTAGAGGGTGAAACTAACTGTCTTGTGGTGCTGGAAATTAAAGAGCTGTAAGCATGTTGTGTATGGAGTGCTGGGTTGAAGATCTGATTCCTTTTGATAGCTTTTCAGTTGTGGTTTTTGTTTTCAAAAAATAAGTCATGTATTATTTAGATTGTAAGCAAATTGGATCAGGGACTGGCAGCACAATGGAGCCTCAATCCTGAGAGGGTACTCTGGATGCTACAATAATACAAATAATAGCAACGAAAGGTGATCTCTCTCTCTGTCACATGGTAGGTGCCGTTAGTAGTTGTGGTGCTCCTATCAGAGAAGTTCCTTTCTAGCAAAAGAGAGAGCTTGTTAGCATGGACCTGTAATTACAGGTCCAATTCTGCCAATACTTACTCATGTGAGTTGGCCTTATTCACATGAGCAATCCCATTACATTCCTTGGAACTATGTTTGTGGGTAAGAACTCGTATGAATAAGAGTTTGCAGGATCAGGCCCTGTAATTGCAGCTATCAAATACACCCTCAATCAAAAAAGCTTGAATGATCAATACGCAAGTAAATTATTTACAACACTGTTTTCTGTCATTTATCTGAAAACATAAAGACAAGAAAAAACAGATATGAATTTTAATTTTTTTTTACCATAGCCTTCCTTTCCATACGCTAATGATGGTGGAATTGTCACTTTCCGTTTTTCTCCAGGACACATATTCGTCATAGCAATATCTAATCCTTTTATGACTTGGCCAACACCCAGAACAAACCACTTTGGGTGACCTTCATTTTGTGTCCGACTACAAAAACAATAAAAAGCTTTTAGCGAGTAGACAGCAACAAAGTCAGTGTTCAAATATTTTTTAAAAAAATCACTTTAACATTTAAATACAGTACTATCTTTGGAAAGTGTGACATTATTTAGATACATTTTTTAAGAAGTCACAGTAAAGTGTACATTAAAAAGTAAACAACTGCCCATTTTTATTTATATTGAAGTATTAACATTTTTTCTGGTATAATTGGTTAAAAATCCTAAATTGCATACACAGAAAAGCTCCCATTGACTTGTTAAAGAACAAGTAAAAATTGAATGCGAAAATTGCACCTTTCTGCAGAAAGTACAAGAGGGGCACTGGGCGAGGAAAACTCTAGTAATTTCCCTTAGCAGAGTTTCTCCAAATCACGCAACTGGGAGTAGAATGTCTTCTCCCCCCTCTTCTCCTCCCCCTGAAAACAAATACTGTACACAGAATAAGCTGCAAAACAGTGGATTACAGAAGATATGCAGGATGACAGGCCATCCATCTGGTGGCTTTATTCCTCAACACTAGAGCTGACCAATCCTTCAGCTCCTAGACAATATGTCTCCATTGGAGCCACACTGCCAAGTGTTCCCCTAGCATGCAATGCTTCCCCTCTCACCTATTAAATCAAAGATCTGATGTGAAAAGAACATTGTTAAAGCTGCAAAACCAAGCATGCAAACAAGCACTGCCAATAACTTGCAGTTTCAAGAATTACCTAGATCTCCAGTAAAACCTATCAACACTACCCTATTTCAACCAGTAGTGGGCTTCCACGGGCATCATATTTTGTCCTAAACTGAGCATACTGCTTCCACACTGGTCTCAGGGAAAGAAAGGCCAAGATCAGGAAAACTTTAATATCCTTTAAGTTTTGATTTTTGGATGAATTAATATATCTGTTGGATCCAAAACTGTAAAAGTTAATATTTTTAACATACTTCAAACTTATTTCACAGCAATAATGGTTAAGTAAAAGGTTGCTCCTTTTATTTATTGAAGAATACAAACTAATGCATTGATCAGGCAAAGACTTATGCATATGTGTACCTTGACACGCTGTGAGCAAAGTTGCTCATGTGCATTGTGCCTAGTCTACACAAGAAAACCACACTATTTATGGCACTCTTAAATTGAAATAAGAGTGTCTACATAAGAGGGTGCCACTGATTTAACTAAATCAATTTCTAACAAAATTTAGTTAAATGAATACAATTTTCTGCAAGGCCTGAGTCTTTGCAAGATTGGGGCTTAATTTGGCCTAAATATTATATAATGATATTTACAGCATTTGTGGTTTGAAAGTATAGCTCTAGATATACATTTATATAATTCTAAACCTCACTGTAATTTTGGGCACTGCATACAAGTTGTTTTCCTTTTGAACAGATTCAGTATTGTCAAATCTGCTTTAACAGAGATTTAAAAAGAAACAAAAGGCTAAATGTTTGCCTATTTTTTATTTGCAGAGGAGAGGCAAATCTGGTGAAGAAGAATGGTATAAATAGCACAGTTATTTACCTGCAATAAAACTTGGATCCATCACCGGCCAGGTAGCCATCATAATGTGCATTAAGCAGATCCCCCTTCTTGCTCTTTGGCTTGCATTCTTTGGGCACATGTAAAACTTCTATTTTAACTTCCTCTGCAGTGGCATCCTCTTTCTTTTGTCCGTGCGTGTGGATCGTAAGAAGACAAAAAGCTTGTAAGAAAAAAACGAATCTGACTCCGAAAGTCATGCTTGCTAAACTCGCAGGCTTGTTCTGACTCAGGTTCTTAGTGCAGCCTCAGAGTAAGAGACACCCGCCCCCCACCCAGGCTGCGTGGCATTGTTCGACGTCAGCCTGACACTAACTGGGGCGTGTACATCGTATCCTCCAAGATGCTGCGTTCCTGCGGCCTGTGGGCTCGGCCAGGGCGCTACGCCCCGCCCACTTGCTCCTCCCCCCTTGACATGATTGCCTGAGGTCTGCAAAGTCCGTGCTCGGTGCGGGGTTGTCAGTCTCGTGCGCTTGCGGGGGATTCTGTCCGGGACTGACTCCTTCCCTCCCAGGCAGGGTTTCAAGTGTCCCCTGGGGAAGCGGGATGCATTACCACCTCCCGGGGGGCGGGGACTTTACAGGGTGGGCTTGTTACCGTTTCTCCGCTGGTGCTGGGGGGATTTCGCGGGCTGTATTACAAAGGGTCTCGCAGTCCCTTGGGGCGGGGGGGGGGTTTGCTCTGTGTGTGTGCGCACCCCCGTCCCCCCAGGAGCTGGCGGTATCTGCACCGTCTCTCCCGCAGGGCGGGGGGGATTTGGGGAGTGCGCGTTTCCACTTCTGCTGTCGCAGCATTGTCCTTCATGTGCATTGGCCCAGCTTCGCTTTCACGCCCCTCATCCGCAGGGGGCCGAAACTTTAAGCGCTGCCACCAGTGTCACTGCGGGGGGGAGGTGGGAGGCTTCTGCGGACAACGTGGCTGTCCCGCGGACCGCGTGTGTCTGGCCAGGGCAGGGGAGGTTCGCCCGGAGTCACGGCACGGGTACGCTGGCAGGCTTAGCCGGCCCCTTTCCTGCAGGAAGTAAATGAAACGTCCGGGTCAATGGCAGCAAACACGACGGCGGGGAGGGGGGGGGGGGCGGGACGGGGAGCCAGAGGCAGCGGAGGAGCGGGGCGGGCAGAGCCTGCGGGGAGCTGGACACCTGCGGTTCCCCCCTCCCCGGACCGCCATGTGCATAGGACATGAGGCACTCTGCCGCGCCTGCCGCCCCTGTGCATAGCCCGCTGCGGGCAGCATCTGCTGGGCCGGCCGGATCCTGGGGCTGCGGCTGCTCTCGGCCCCCGAGCTGCGCGGCTCAGCCGTAAATGTCCATAGGCGGCTGCTGAGCGGGAGGGAAGGGGGGAGGCTCTGCCACTGCTGCCGCCCGTTCCCAGGAGGAGGAGGATGCTGCACGGAGCCTGGCCCTGAGCTATGGAAGGAGTCCTGTACAAGTGGACCAATTACCTGACAGGTATGGGCCGGGCGGGGCTGCTCCTGGCGCGCAGCGCAGCATCGCTCTCCCGGGCGGTGCCTGGGGGTTAGCGGGCAGCGGGCCTTTGGCACAGCGGGGAGGATGGAGGTGCTGCTGCAGGGGGATCTAGGTGAGGGTGCGGACTAGTGTCCGCTGAGGTTACGAAACCAGCTGGCGTGTGGAGCTGTTCGCCGCTGTTTGACTCTATCTTGCTTGGGAAGAAACGGACAGTTTTAGCCTCTGATGGCTGTTGGGTGGCCTACCGTAGAGCAGCGGATTGCTGGTTTTCGTTCAGTAGCCTGTTGCGCCTAGGCTCGGAGAATCCAGTTGTGGTGCAGCAATGGGCGGTGTCCGATTCTGTGGGTGAGTGGAAGACGTTACCCTCCAGAGCTGTTGATCTGCACCTTTCACAAGAACTAAATTCATGCTGCACCCACGTTTTAAAATCCTTCCTGGAGATTACCCGAGATCTGGGAGGTGTTGGGATCGTTTTAAAATACTGTCATTACTAAATCGCATGCTGTTTTAATTGAAGATCTGTTGCATTCATACTCAGTATTTTGGAATGTACTTATATGGCCCTGCTTGCTGAATATAGCCCACTGGTCTGGGTGTGTGCTACAGTTATCACTCTGTGTCTAATCTACAGAGGATATGGTTCTGTTACAGCTCTTAGCTTGAAAGCCTGGCTCTTAAACTGTAGAGGCTCATGCTTAAAGCTCTGGGGGCCCCTGGTTCAGTCAGTGGAGGATGATGGCCATCATATGACCACTTCACAATTCTGAAAGTATGTATCCTCACAAGACCCCTGTTAGGTGGGAAGGTAATGTTATCCTCAATTTACAGAGAGCCGGAGGTCATAAAGGAAATCTGGCAAAGCAGGGAATTGACGTCCTAGTCTATCACCTTAACCACTGGAGCATCCTTCCTCCTGTAAGAAATAGCTATGATAAACCATTAATTGCATGCAAACATATTGTAAGATATAGTCATTGCACCTGTCTCTGCGTGCCCTTTCCTGGACACATCTTGTTCAACACAGGTGTCTCTGGGTAGCTAGTACAGCCCTCTTACCCCTCGAGCTTTCTCTTGGCACTTGCCTGTGAATATCAGCACATCTTAGGTAATTTTCTTACCTCTATCTCAAGGGTCCTGCAGATCTCTTGAAAACCCTATGACTAACTATGCCTCTGAGTTCTGGACTTGAAAAACCACTAAATGTTTATTTAACCTGAATAAACGTAACATAAACATAACAATACTTCTAAGAGCCTGGCAGTGCTTCCCTTGATTGCAGTTTGTCCGACCCTCTTTGTCCTCAGGAGCCAGTGCTACCCTTCAAATTCAGCCTCCCCTCCCCAGTTCCAAACATGCAGTCTGGTGGGGCTTCTGTCCAGGAGTCCTAGCCTCTGTGTCCCCAGCAACATCTGTTCTTCTGGTCTTCATCCAAAAACATACCCTATCATACAGTTGTGCTTATCAGCAATTATCCTATAATGTCTCATATCATATAATTTCAAGTTAACATAGTCCTTTCTCTGTGACAGTTGAGAAGGAAGGGGCTTGGTATTGCCTCTTGAAAATTGTCAGTCTTCCTGTAGTGAATGGCTCTGACAGAAAGTAGGATTATCAATCTGTTCAAAAAGTGATTGAAAAGACATTAACTACAAAGCTGTCTATAATGGAATGGGTTCTGCAAATAACAATATTTCCTAACCTCCTTATTATTACAAGCATTATTTTTGTGCCCATCACTGTGTTGTGTGGTATTTTTGGGAAATGGTGCTTTCCTGTTTAGCAGTAAGACCTTGGCTGTATTGACTAATTCTTCTTGCCTTGTAAGACTGAAGTTTGGAATAGTCCGGCCTCTGTGGCGTAGCAGAGCCAAATTGAATGTGGACAGTGACCCAGAATGGAGACAATTAATGTGGTACATTATTTCAATAAATTGCAGAGTTGCTGGACACTCACAGTTCTTGCTGATGTCAATGGAAGATGTGACTGCTCAGGCTCTCTGATCTCAGGCTGGATCTGGCCCTGTGGTAGGAAAGAGAATGTGAAGAAATACCGCAGAAAAAATCTTGCAGTGTCAGTATAGTAACAAGTAGTGATGACTGGGAACCACTAATTTAGAGTACCAGAGGAAAGTAATTAATAGACGACTACAAGTTCCTGACCCAGGATGAAACATGACTGTTCTCTTAACTTAGGAATTTCTATTTTGTATGTCCAGTCACAATTAATAAATTGGATGATTGTGAGCACAGGATGAACTGTAACTGTATAAATGTCTTAGTTCTGTTAAGACCAGGCTAATTAGGGAATCCAGAATAGGACAAATGCTAAGAAATTTGTTAAAAATCTTAAAACTTGTTATGAAGTTACATTTCACCTCTGGATATATTGGAGTGGCATAAATTTTGAGCCAGATGTATCCGTAGAATACAATGAAAACGAGTAAGTGGTAATGTATTTGTGATGGCTTTTCTAGGCACGTAACAATTCTGTAAAAGACATTTAATAAACAGAATGACTTTTATGTTATTCACATCATATAGGCTTGTCAGTTTTTTAAAAAAACAACAAAGAAGTCTTGTAGCCATAAGTTGTGATGATATACCTTTGGCTATGGTCATTCTTCTACAGAATTAAAGAAAAGGCATTCTTAGTCCTGGTCTACACTGGGAACTTACATCCTCATAGCTGCATCTCTGAGGGGTGTGAAAAATCCACACCACTGAGAGACATAATTATGTCGACCTAATCCCCAGTGTAGACAGTGCTAGGTTGATGGAAGAATTCTTCTGTCAACCTAGCTACTGCCTCTTGGAAAGGTGGATTAATGACAGTGGTGGAAGAACCCCCGCCCCCATTGCTGTAGTAAGTACCTATCCTGAAGTGCTACAGTGGTGCAGCTGTAGCATTTTAAGTGTAGACATACCCTCATTAACTAAAGAAAGCAATCTTAAGTCTGGCATTTCCTAACTTTTTTGGGCTTCACTTTGCAATGTTAATGTAGTGTTTTGGAGGTCATTATTTATTATTTGTATTGCAGTAATGTCTAGCTGCCCCAACAGTGATTAGGACCCCAATTTCCAGTGGGTAGAATTTTCAGAAGTACTCGTGGGTCTTATAAGGACAAGTCCTTTGTAGTCTCTTTCAATGAGACTTTCCCCCCTAAGTTTCTTAGGCTCTATTCAAAATCCTTCCATGAATTTACACATAGGAAGAGACAGTCTCTCCTTAGAAGAACATCCAGTCTAAGGCACTGATCCAGCTAGATCTGTGTTGGCCATCCACACAGATTAAGTTGCAGGATCTGGTTGTAAATAGACACAAGATGGACAAAAGGCATGAGAAAGGAAATATTATCCCCATTTTACATCTGGGGAACCAAGGCACAGAAGATTAAGTGACTTGTTCAAAGTCAGAGGGGCTGAGTCAGAAATTGAGTTCAGTAGAAGTGTTACAGTAGGCACAGCGGCTATGCTGCTGTAGCATAGACACTTATTAGAAGGGTTTCTTCTGTCACTGTAGTAAATTCACCTCTCCGAGAGGCAGTAGCTAGGTTGACGGAAGAATTCTTTCATCAACCAAGTGGTGTCTGGAGCTTAGGTTGGTTTAATGACATCACACAAGGTGTGAAATTTTTCACAGCCCTGAGTGATGTAGTAAAGCTGACCTAACTTTGTAGTGTAGACCAGCCCTAAGCTAGGGCGCATACTGTAATATCTTCTTATAACATAGAGATCTGTTCTGAAAGCTTCTGACATATCATTCCAAATGACTCGCAATAGGCCTGTCTGTGTACACTTGCTTGCAGCAAGCTTCAAGACTGCATTCTTCAATACTCCAGTGCCAGCTTTCAGAGTTTTATCACAAATCTCTTGATATTTAGTATTTATCTTAAATCTCCATCTCCTGTAGTAAAGTGATTGCATGAGAATCTCAGCTTCCCCCCCCCTTTTTTTAAAATGTCTAATCCTCATGGTTGTGGAGTGTGAAACCTAAATACTCAAAAGTTTCATGATATTTTGGGACCTGACTTATAATTTTTGAACCCTTAGGGTTGGCAATACCATAGTTCTGAAAACAGTTCTATCTCTGGCACCAGTGAGTTGATTGGTTTTTAATTAGCAGTGCAGGAAGATCTGTGGCTGACAGCTTTTTGTCAGCAGTGGGTCCATCCATGTGTGCAGTTGGGTTTTGTAGACCTCATCCTGTGGCCCTCACTTGTGTGAGTAGTTCCATTGAAGTTAGTGGAACTAAGTAGCAGTTGGCGTACTGGTGAGTAACGCCCTGTATAAAATCACGGCAGTGTCCTGGTTAAGTGTTCTAATTTCATGGGATATGTATGACCACCAAGTCCCACCCACAACCCCGAGCTGCTGCAACTTTTCCAACAGTGGGGACATAGAAGCGGGTATGCCTTCTAGCTCCCTGCTGACTGAAGCCATGCCTGCTCCTGGGGGGGATTAGTGGACCAATCCCATCTTGAGGAGTGGAGGCAAGGTGATGTGGGTCATGCGATGTCTCGCTATTGATGACAGCCAGTCCGGCCTAGGCCATTGCCTCTGCTTTCTGCCCGTTTGGTAGGGTGAGGGGGCAATGCTGACAACATGCAGCAATTAGGAGCCCTGGCCTGCCCCAGTGGCCTCCGGCAGGCCTAGGGGAGATGCTGCAGGAGCTGTGACCAATATCTGTTGCCTGAAGCCCAAGCAGCTGTGTGAAGCCCAACAGATATTTGGCTAAGTTCACAATTTTCACACAGGCTGTGACACTGTAATTTATACAGGGCTTTACTGATGGGAGTAAAGGTTGTAGGTGTCAGGCCGTATCAGAGAGAGAGAGTCAGTCAGTCTGTGTGCCTGTCCTCAGGTAAAAAAAAAGATTAGTTTCCAGTGTAGATATTTGTGGTCCAGGAAGTCAAAAACTATTTCCCAGATCAAAAAGAAGTGTTAGCTTTGGACAGAACTGGGTGTAAGGACTGAGCGGGTGGG